TGAAGTTTAAAAAAAAAAGTTGTGAAGTTTCCAGAAACACTTCAGCTGTGATTTTTTCAGTTGATGATACTTTGTATAGCTGAGGTTGAATGGGAGTATACGCTTAATTAATTTACTTTCGATTGAATAGTTAGTTTTTTTGAGCTTCATAAATAGATTATGAGGATTGTTTTAATGGTTCTTGTTTCTTTTCACACATAAGCGACAATGAAATTACATCAAAAACGATACTTTATCTGCAACCTTTAATACCTCAGCATATGTCTTGCACGTGAATTTTGCTAATTTTTGAACGCCGTGAAGCCTCAAAGTTTGGTTTTTAGTCTGATTCATCTGTGAAATAAAGAAATAGATAAAGTCGCAGAGTTACAAATCTGGAAGAGTGAATAGTTTTGACTATCAGGTTTACAAACTTTGTGGTGTTTACGAAACTTAAGTTCAATCAGATTTCATGGAAATCAACAAGCATGATGAGTTTGCGTTTTTCAAATAAATTAGTTTTCTTTAGAAAACTCATAATCTACAAAAAAGCACTTCATCATCCGTATTCTGCAATTTATCAAGTGTTGTGATATAGAATTGTGGCAGCTTGTGTTAACCTCCAATTGGTGATTATCAGTTTTATTCAGCTGTGAAATAAAGACTTGAATTGTATACTTAAAAATGTAGGGATTCTGTTATTTTTCAAGCTTGTCTATTGAATTAGTTTGTGTTTCAAGAGTCTAAAGGTGTCAATTTTTCGTTATCATTAGTTTGATTAGGTAACTTCTATGAATCTTGCATTCTCACAAATTTGGTTCGTTTCTGATTTTTGCCTATATATTCGCGGGCAACATTTATATGCCCTGATGTTGTTGTTGTAGTAGATTGTGCCTCAAACAGTGCACTGTAATCAAATTAAGTCTCAGAGTTGCAAATCAAGGGTGATAGTTTTCAAATAATGTTGGTGTTATCAATACGTATCATTTCAATACGAAATTTTATTCAGCCTCACAAGTTGTTCTTTTAAGTGATTTATGCTCCAATGATTCATGACCTTTTCTTACATGAGAGACAATACATAGTCCTTAAAAACAGTACACTATCTTTTGCCTCATGTTTATCAGTACTTGAAGTGCTCAATAAACGTTGCTTCTCTCGAAATGTCTTAAGCATGATTCACTTTTTTTTAAGACTGAAGTTTTAAAAAAAAAGTTGTGAAGTTTCCAGAAACACTTCAGCTGTGAATTTTTCAGTTGATGATACTTTGTATAGTTGAGGTTGAATGGGAGTATACGCTTACTTAATTTACTTTCGATTGAATAGTTAGTTTTCTTGAGCTTCATAAATAGATTATGAGGATTGTTTTAATGGTTCTTGTTTCTTTTCACACATAAGCGACAATGAAAATACATCAAAAGCGATACTTTATCTGTAACGTTTAATACCTCAGCATATGTCTTGCACGTGAAGTTCGCTAATTTTTGAGCGCCGTGAAGCCTCAAAGTATGGTTATTAGTCTGATTCATCTGTGAAATAAAGAAAAAGATAAAGTCGCAGAGTTGCAAATCTGGAAGAGTGAATAGTTTTGACTATCAAATATACAAACTTTGTGGTGTTTACGAAACTTAAGTTCAATCAGATTTCATGGAAATCAACAAGCATGATGAGTTTGCGTTTTTCAAATAAGTTAGTTTTCTTTAGAAAACTCATAATCTATAAAAAAGCACTTCATCATCCGTATTATGCAATTTATCAAGTGTTGCGATATACAATTGTGGCAGCTTGTGTTAACCTCCAATTGGTGATTATCAGTTTTATTCAGCTGTGAAATAAAGAATTGAATTGTATACTTAAAAATGTAGGGATTCTGTTATTTTTCAAGCTTGTCTATTGAATTAGTTTTTGTTTCAAGAGTCTAAAGGTGTGGTGTCAATTTTTCGTTATCATTAGTTTGATTAGGTAACTTCTATGAATCTTGCATTCTCACAAATTTGGTTCGTTTCTGATTGTTGCCTATATATTCGCGGGCAACATTTATATGCCCTGATGTTGTTGTTGTAGTAGATTGTGCCTCAAACAGTGCACTGTAATCAAATTAAGTCTCAGAGTTGCAAATCAGGGGTGATAGTTTTCAAATAATGTTGGTGTTATCAATACGTATCGTTTCAATACGAAATTTTATTCAGCCTCACAAGTTGTTCTTTTAAGTGATTTATGCTCCAATGATTCATGACCTTTTCTCAATGAGAGACAATACTTAGTCCTTAAAAACGGTACACTATCTTTTGCCCCAAGTTTTTCAGTACTTGAAGTGCTCAATAAACGTTGCTTCTCTCGAAATCTCTCAAGCATGATTCACTTTTTTTCAAGACTGAAGTTTTGAAAAAAAAGTTGTGAAGTTTCCAGAAACACTTCAGCTGTGAATGTTTCAGTTGATGATACTTTGTATAGTTGAGGTTGAATGGGAGTATACGCTTAATTAATTTACTTTCGATTGAACAGTTAGTTTTTTTGAGCTTCATAAATAGATTATGAGGATTGTTTTAATGGTTCTTGTTTCTTTTAACACATAAGCGACAATGAAAATACATCAAAAACGATCTGTAACCTTCAATACCTCAGCATATGTCTTGCCCGTGAAGTTTGCTAATTTTTGAACGCCGTGAAGCCTCAAAGTATGATTATTTGTCTGATTCATCTGTGAAATAAAGAAATAGATAAAGTCGCAAAGTTGCAAATCTGGAAGAGTGAATAGTTTTAACTATCAAATTTACAAACTTTGTGGTGTTTAAGAAACTTAAGTTCAATCAGATTTCATGGAAATCAACAAGCATTATGAGTTTGAGTTTTTCAAATAAGTTCGTTTTCTTTAGAAATCTCATAATCTACAAGAAAGCACTTCACCATCCGTATTCTGCAATTTATCAAGTGTCGTGATATCGACTGTAGCTGCTTGTGTTAACCTCCAATAGGTGATTATCAGTTTTATTCAGCTGTGAAATAAAGAATTGAATTGTATACTTAAAAATGTAGGGATTCTCTTATTTTTCAAGCTTGTCTATTGAATTAGTTTGTGTTTCAAGAGTCTAAAGGTGTCAATTTTTCTTTATCATTAGTTTGATTAGGTAACTTCTATAAATCTTGCGTTCTCACAAATTTGGGTCGTTTCTGACTGTTGCATATATATTTGCGGGCAACATTTATATGCCCTGATGTTGTTGTTGTAGTAGATAGTGCCTCAAACAGTGCACTGTAATCAAATTAAGTCTCAGAGTTGCTAATCAGGCGTGATAGTTTTCAAATAATGTTGGTGTTATCAATACGTATCAATTCAATACGAAATTTTAATCAGCCTCACAAGTTGCTCTTTTAAGTGATTTATGCTCCAATGATTCATGACCTTTTCTTACATGAGAGACAATACACAGTCCTTAAAAGATGTACTCTATCTTTTGCCTCATGTTTATCAGTACTTGAAGTGCTCAATAACCGTTGCTTCTCTCGAAATCTCCTAAGCATGAGTGATTAAGTTCCGTGATCAAGTCCTTTTTTGCCGTGATTAATTTCGAATAATTCCTTACTTTCTTTGACATGGGAGACAATACTTGATCCACAAAATAGCTGTACTTTGTCTAGAAGCGCCAGTTCTTCAACATGTGTTGTCTGATAGCCGCCGCTGGTGTTGAAAAGCTTTAACGCATCAGTTACATTCTTTTTTCACGTCTAGAATAAAAAAATAGTTTTCTTAAATCAAAATTACGATTTACGAAGTTTTAATGAAATTGTAGTTTAATCCGATTATCTGGAGTCGACAAGCTTGATGAGTTAGCTTTTTTTTTCAATTATTTTAATTTCTTCAGTTTCATTAGAGCTGTTCTTAAGCTACAAAGTATGGTTATTAGTCTGATTCAGCTGTGAAATAATTAAGTAGATTAAGTCCCAGAGTTGCAAATCAGGCGTGATGATAAAGAAAGTATTTAAATATTGTTTTTTTTAATCAATACGCATAATAATTGAAAAGAGAAAATCTAAATATTGTTTTTATGTTTTCGTTATCAATATGCATTTGTTCAATACTTGAGTTGCACTTTTTTCCGAATAAGATCTTTCTCACATGAGAAGCAATACACATTCCATAAAAAGCGGTACATCATCTTTAGCCTCAAATTGATCAGTTTATTTTGTGCTCGACAACCGTCGCGATTTCTCGAAAGCTTCAAAGCATGATTAACATTTTTTTTTGAGTGAGTTTTAGAAAATCAGGTGTGAAGTTTCAGTAACGAATCAGGTGTGAAGGTTCCAGTTCATGATCGTTAGAAAATAGTTGAGCTTGAGTGAGAGTCTATACGCAAAATGATTTTCCCTTACATTTGCTCATTTCTTTTGAGCTTCCTTCATAGGTTTTTTATGCGGAATTTTCAATGGTTCTTGTTTTTTTCCCCAAACGAGAGACAATGATAGTTTACAAAAACGATAATATTATCTGTAACTTTCAATACCTCAGCACATGTCGTACTTAATAAATTTCGCTTTTTCAAAAAAGATGTAAAGCAGTTCAAGTTATAAATTAATTTTAGACATTAAAGTGTTTCAATTCTGCCTTGAATTTTTTTACGAAATGATATTTAAATGCAGCTGAGATTACGTGGGAATCAATAAGCAAATTAAATTCCCCTTCGAATACAAAATTTCATTACGCTTCATAGGTTGCGGTTTTGGGCGTGATTATGTTCAAATTATTCATGACCTTTTTTCAATAGGAGACAATACATGATCGACAAAAAAGCGGTGCATCACGGTAGCCCCCAGTTTATCAGTAACTTCGTTTACGACAACCTTCGCTTTTTCGAATGGATGAAATTCATGATTCACGAGCTCGTTCGGTAAATTTTTCTGCAGATTCATTATCCGATTCTGAATTTAGTTCTGGTTGATTCACCCTATTATATTGATTGAATTGAAGTATAATTCAAATTATTAGCTAGTTAGTGTCTTTAGCTGACTGGTTTTTGTTTTAGAGGAAATCAACAAACTTTGGGCTTACATGCAACCCTTTTTGACCAAAGAAAACGTCAACCAAGCGTCTACTGAATCATCCTGTATGACATACCTGATGATGGCGGCTGCCTATGACAATGGAGAACTGGTGAAGCTACTTCTGGAAAACGGAGCAGATATCAGAGTCTCTACTAACTACGGCTGGACTGCTCTAGACTGGGCTTGTAAAAATGGAGCATTGAATGCTCTAGCACATCTAGAGAATAAACTACCTTGTGAGCCGCGAGCATCTACAACTGATATCGAACTAGTTGAAAAGAAATCGGATATGGAACCCGAACAAAAACGAAAGCTTTGCTCATATCTCTGTGCCCAAAATGAGACCTCAATTGATCATAAAGGTATCGCTTTAATAATCAATAACGAGATTATAACTCGGTATGTTGAGAAGATCTTGGTGTTCATACCGGGAATCGATGATGTGTTCAACATCCTTGATCTACTAGAGACAAGTGATGCGAGAGATGAAATTCAAAACACATTTACAATCATTATGCTCCACGATAACTACGATCAATCTCAGTTTATGGACTACTTTAACGCGGCCATTAACAAAAAGGGAAAGAAACTGTTCTTCAGTATTGGGACTTATGAATTTAACATAATGATGACGGCTATTGATGTTGTAATAGATAGCGGTAAAGATCGAAGTGTGGTTTTTGATCATTTGAATAACAGAAGTCAAGTGGAAGATTGTTGGATTTCGAAAAATAGCGCGGAACAACGAAGCTCATTGTCAACTTCTGCAGGAGCGAAGGCGTATCGAATGTACACGAAAACACGCCACGATAGTTTCCGACCAGATCGGGTGTCTGAAATAGTCCGGAGGCCCCTAGACAATCTATGTCTCTGGATCCGAATGCTGGCTCCTGAAGGCCATGAAATTGACGAATACTTTAGCCATGCATATGAACAGCCGAGACCTTTTTCAGTTAAAGTAGCTGTGACCATTCTACAGTGCTTAGAGGCTCTGAATAATGAAAAGGAAATTACAGAACTGGGCTTTATGATGCTGAACATTCCAATTAACCCAAAGCTAGCAAAGTTAGTCCTGTATGGTCTAGCATATCGTTGCTTAGATCCCGTATTGACTATAGCGTCAGCTTTGCTAGTTGAGAATATGATTATAAAGTCAAATCATAAGCCAAGAAGAAACAAAATTTTGAGCAAGAAAAATCAGTTGTCACATCAGTCGTATAGTGACCACGGGTCTTACTTGAAAGCTTTTTTGTCCTGGTTGAAAAATAAGGAAAAGGAGAACGGAGGGAATGTTGATTTGTCCGTTTTGAATTACGGTCAATGTGAAATGGCTTATTTGATGAAGGAAAAAATCACTAGCTATTTAAAAAGATTCGAACACTTCAAGTCGATGTACTTCAACCATGAATGGAACAAGGAATTCAACACTTTTTCAGACAACTTCTCCATGATTCGTGCCGTTCTTTGTGCCACCTTCTTTCCAAATGTTCTCCAATGCGACTGGAACAATCAATGTATTGTTTCACTGAATGAGTCGCATATATCTATTGACAAGCACAGTATATTACACGATCTCATCAGTAAGAAAATGCATGTGAAGCAAGATACGAACACGGCTTTCCCTTCGAATTGGATAATTTATTCGGATTCTAAGAAGATATCGAAAACGGCAAATGAAGTCAGTGATTTGTCAATTGTTTCAACACTTGCTGTAGTGTTGTTTAGTGATTCCTTGTTAGCTAACTGTAAGATATTGGAGGCGCCTAGCTCTGAGAAACAAAGAGGCTCAGTCTGGGATAACGCTTGTGTGCTTGCGGTGTCGGAACACATTAAGTTCATTCAGTTCAAAACGAACAGACGAGACGCCGAGTTGATCCTGACGCTGCGACGTCGGCTGCATTCGCTAGTCAGTCGCCAGTTCAAGATCAATGCCGAAATTCTGAATGGAGATTTGGAGGCGTTGCAATGTGTGGCTAATGTCATGAAAGAGTAGGATAAAACGCTTGGCTTGAAGTTGATTTCGGGCTGTTCTCAGAGATCTAGAAGTGGGAATATTCCTCCTGTTGTCGGCTATAGGGCTTTCATTCCATCGATGAGAGCTAAGTTGCGCTGTGATTTTTGCGATCATCAGGATATGAATGGAGCGGCAGGCGTTGACTTTTCGCTCTCAAAAGGACAGTCGAGTAGTTGTCTTCGGCAGAAATGTCTGCAGAAAGAGAAAGAATGTCGGCGAAAAGAAGAACTGAGAGACTTGGAGTTGAAGAGTAAAAGCAATATGCATCCGAATCGCATGACCTCTTCTAGAAATGAGAACCAGGGAGGAGGTTTGCTCGGCCGCATTCCCAACGTAAATATTGGAGGAGAAGGACTTTTTGACGACCAACACTCGAGAAATCTGGTCGCTGGTCGGCTTGGAAAGTATCCATTTCCTACGCATGCCATACATATCCAGCAATACAATAGTCTATTGTTGCAAGGTGCGGCTGGAATAAGTAACAATGTCTACAAAAATCCCTACTCCAAAAAGAAAAACGATAACTTTGAGTGTCTGATTCAAACAGCGGGAACCTCGAAGAGTCCTGCAACATGCTCTGCTGCTGTGTCTAGTGTTGCAAACAACCCTTTCTCTTCAAATGATGTTTCAGTGACTAGTGCTTGCAAGGCTATCATGTCGCATGCTGCAGATAATAACGTTATAATTAGTTCGGAAGCAAATTTTAATGCGAGTAAGTTTTCGCTTGCTAATGGGGGTTCGCCATTGATGCAACCGTTGCAGCAAACAAGTGCATGTTCAAATAAGTCTAGATCTAATTCAACGGAACAGGTTTCGAGTAAAAATAAGGCGCCCAAAAAGATGTCAGACGAGTACACTTTTCCTCCAGGCACCGGACGTCCCTGGAGGGATCTGAGAAGCATCGAGGAGATGCCTTGGAACCAAGTGGAGGAAAGTTGGCTCTGGTTTGGAAAAACTTGGAAGCGATTCTCTAGTGAGAGGAGGGCTTGGCCACAGCAGAGCGACTGTCTCTGGATTGATGGAAGTACCAATGATTTATACAACGAGAACTTGATTTCATACCGTTGATTTCAACGAGAACTCAGAGGATTTGGCGATGTTTGGGTCTGACAAAAGTGGTCCGAATCTGCACGTGTACTAATGAAATTCGACGATGAGCTTGAAATAAAATGAAAAAGATAAATGAACTGACACATTTGATGTTAATTACTGCAAATTATTTGTGATTCTACTTCCTGATAACCAATTTTTGTTAACTAAAGTGGCATTTGAATGGTGATGTTGGTGTTTACTTGACATTGCGTCACTCAAAGGGGTCTAGAACCCATTTCTGCACCCAGTGACCAGGTGTTATTTGATGTCCTCTTAACGTTGATTTCTCTATTCTTCTCATTTTGTGCTGCAAAAGCACGTCCATGTGTTTACCTGCGTGTAGACTTTTTAAGTTCGGTTGATGGACTTAGTTTAGTTCAGTTCGAACAGGCAAAATACAATCGGAATGGAAGTTTCGTTGTTGAGCCGAAATAACTGAAAAGCACTTTTGGTCTTCTCTCACTTAGGTGTTGATTTGCTATGAGTGCTGAAGTATCTCTGTCGTTATCTCCTCAAAGTGTTCTGTTGAGTTGTTGAGCAGTTTATAAATGCGAACAGGTTTCGTCCATTTTTCTGCACTGTATTGTTGACCTCTTTTTAGCTCTCAATCTAAGGCTGTAACTTAACTAAACTCAGTTTGTTATGTTCATGTATGTTTATCTCGTCAATTGCTTTTCGCAATAGTTGCTACTCTTTGGTGCTATGCTCAATCCGAAATATCCTAAAATGTCACTTCATCCACTCGTAATAAACTAGTCTGTGTTTCGCTTTGATGTCTAGTTCTATAATTGTAAATCTTGTACATACCTAAACGCATTTGGGTTTCGACTTGATTCAAGTCGGTCTCCTGCTTTCCTGTTTTATTTGCAGTTGCTCTCATTGTTGTAGCCACCGATTCGGCTCGACTGACTGATTGACTGATGTTTACTTAGGAAAAGTCTTCTTGTCGCTCGGTCTTATTTTATTGCAGATTTGTCCCTGATAATAACCAATCATTTAATGGGCTTCTGATTTTAGCAAGCTCTGCTAATTCTTCACTCAACTTTGTTGCTGTGTGTATCTGTGCTGTACCACAAGCATTAAAAATTTAAATGATGAAAAGTCTTTTTTCTTGAGTGTAATAAAAAATGGGTAGTGTCTGTTACACGGTTAAAAATTAGAAACAAATTACTCGCAACGGTTTCGGAATGAACTTAGCCAGTCATATTCAAGCCCTATGGTTCAGTTTTTGAAATTTAACAAACAAGAAAATTGCGCCATATAGAAAAACCCTAGAAACTGCCGGTTTTTGGTTCCAGATGATATCACGAGCTAGATATTGGCTGTTTACGTCACCAACTGAACGCAGCCTAAAACAGGCAGATCGTTTTTAAGTGTCAAGGAACGTACTGAAGACTTTAATATATATTATATATTATATTCTATATGTACTCTATCTTTTGCCTCATGTTTATCAGTACTTGAAGTGCTCAATAACCGTTGCTTCTCTCGAAATCTCCTAAGCATGAGTGATTAAGTTCCGTGATCAAGTCCTTTTTTGCCGTGATTAATTTCGAATAATTCCTTACTTTCTTTGACATGGGAGACAATACTTGATCCACAAAATAGCTGTACTTTGTCTAGAAGCGCCAGTTCTTCAACATGTGTTGTCTGATAGCCGCCGCTGGTGTTGAAAAGCTTTAACGCATCAGTTACATTCTTTTTTCACGTCTAGAATAAGAAAATAGTTTTCTTAAATCAAAATTACGATTTACGAAGTTTTAATGAATTTGTAGTTTAATCCGATTATCTGGAGTCGACAAGCTTGATGAGTTTGCTTTTTTTTTCAATTATTTTATTTTCTTCAGTTTCATTAGAGCTGTTCTTAAGCTACAAAGTATGGTTATTAGTCTGATTCAGCTGTGAAATAATTAAGTAGATTAAGTCCCAGAGTTGCAAATCAGGCGTGATGATAAAGAAAGTATTTAAATATTGTTTTTTTAATCAATACGCATAATAATTGAAAAGAGAAAATCTAAATATTGTTTTTATGTTTTCGTTATCAATATGCTTTTGTTCAATACTTGAGTTGCACTTTTTTCCGAATAAGATCTTTCTCACATGAGAAGCAATACACATTCCATAAAAAGCGGTACATCATCTTTAGCCTCAAATTGATCAGTTTATTTTGTGCTCGACAACCGTCGCGATTTCTCGAAAGCTTCAAAGCATGATTAACATTTTTTATTGAGTGAGTTTTAGAAAATCAGGTGTGAAGTTTCAGTAACGAATCAGGTGTGAAGGTTCCAGTTCATGATCGTTAGAAAATAGTTGAGCTTGAGTGAGAGTCTATACGCAAAATGATTTTCCCTTACATTTGCTCATTTCTTTTGAGCTTCCTTCATAGGTTTTTTATGCGGAATTTTCAATGGTTCTTGTTTTTTTCCCCAAACGAGAGACAATGATAGTTTACAAAAACGATAATATTATCTGTAACTTTCAATACCTCAGCACATGTCGTACTTAATAAATTTCGCTTTTTCAAAAAAGATGTAAAGCAGTTCAAGTTATAAATTAATTTTAGACATTAAAGTGTTTCAATTCTGCCTTGAATTTTTCTACGAAATGATATTTAAATGCAGCTGAGATTACGTGGGAATCAATAAGCAAATTAAATTCCCCTTCGAATACAAAATTTCATTACGCTTCATAGGTTGCGGTTTTGGGCGTGATTATGTTCAAATTATTCATGACCTTTTTTCAATAGGAGACAATACATGATCGACAAAAAAGCGGTGCATCACGGTAGCCCCCAGTTTATCAGTAACTTCGTTTACGACAACCTTCGCTTTTTCGAATGGATGAAATTCATGATTCACGAGCTCGTTCGGTAAATTTTTCTGCAGATTCATTATCCGATTCTGAATTTAGTTCTGGTTGATTCACCCTATTATATTGATTGAATTGAAGTATAATTCAAATTATTAGCTAGTTAGTGTCTTTAGCTGACTGGTTTTTGTTTTAGAGGAAATCAACAAACTTTGGGCTTACATGCAACCCTTTTTGACCAAAGAAAACGTCAACCAAGCGTCTACTGAATCATCCTGTATGACATACCTGATGATGGCGGCTGCCTATGACAATGGAGAACTGGTGAAGCTACTTCTGGAAAACGGAGCAGATATCAGAGTCTCTACTAACTACGGCTGGACTGCTCTAGACTGGGCTTGTAAAAATGGAGCATTGAATGCTCTAGCACATCTAGAGAATAAATTACCTTGTGAGCCGCGAGCATCTACAACTGATATCGAGCTAGTTGAAAAGAAATCGGATATGGAACCCGAACAAAAACGAAAGCTTTGCTCATATCTCTGTGCCCAAAATGAGACCTCAATTGATCATAAAGGTATCGCTTTAATAATCAATAACGAGATTATAACTCGGTATGTTGAGAAGATCTTGGTGTTCATACCGGGAATCGATGATGTGTTCAACATCCTTGATCTACTAGAGACAAGTGATGCGAGAGATGAAATTCAAAACACATTTACAATCATTATGCTCCACGATAACTACGATCAATCTCAGTTTATGGACTACTTTAACGCGGCCATTAACAAAAAGGGAAAGAAACTGTTCTTCAGTATTGGGACTTATGAATTTAACATAATGATGACGGCTATTGATGTTGTAATAGATAGCGGTAAAGATCGAAGTGTGGTTTTTGATCATTTGAATAACAGAAGTCAAGTGGAAGATTGTTGGATTTCGAAAAATAGCGCGGAACAACGAAGCTCATTGGCAACTTCTGCAGGAGCGAAGGCGTATCGAATGTACACGAAAACACGCCACGATAGTTTCCGACCAGATCGGGTGTCTGAAATAGTCCGGAGGCCCCTAGACAATCTATGTCTCTGGATCCGAATGCTGGCTCCTGAAGGCCATGAAATTGACGAATACTTTAGCCATGCATATGAACAGCCGAGACCTTTTTCAGTTAAAGTAGCTGTGACCATTCTACAGTGCTTAGAGGCTCTGAATAATGAAAAGGAAATTACAGAACTGGGCTTTATGATGCTGAACATTCCAATTAACCCAAAGCTAGCAAAGTTAGTCCTGTATGGTCTAGCATATCGTTGCTTAGATCCCGTATTGACTATAGCGTCAGCTTTGCTAGTTGAGAATATGATTATAAAGTCAAATCATAAGCCAAGAAGAAACAAAATTTTGAGCAAGAAAAATCAGTTCTCACATCAGTCGTATAGTGACCACGGGTCTTACTTGAAAGCTTTTTTGTCCTGGTTGAAAAATAAGGAAAAGGAGAACGGAGGGAATGTTGATTTGTCCGTTTTGAATTACGGTCAATGTGAAATGGCTTATTTGATGAAGGAAAAAATCACTAGCTATTTAAAAAGATTCGAACACTTCAAGTCGATGTACTTCAACCATGAATGGAACAAGGAATTCAACACTTTTTCAGACAACTTCTCCATGATTCGTGCCGTTCTTTGTGCCACCTTCTTTCCAAATGTTCTCCAATGCGACTGGAACAATCAATGTATTGTTTCACTGAATGAGTCGCATATATCTATTGACAAGCACAGTATATTACACGATCTCATCAGTAAGAAAATGCATGTGAAGCAAGATACGAACACGGCTTTCCCTTCGAATTGGATAATTTATTCGGATTCTAAGAAGATATCGAAAACGGCAAATGAAGTCAGTGATTTGTCAATTGTTTCAACACTTGCTGTAGTGTTGTTTAGTGATTCCTTGTTAGCTAACTGTAAGATATTGGAGGCGCCTAGCTCTGAGAAACAAAGAGGCTCAGTCTGGGATAACGCTTGTGTGCTTGCGGTGTCGGAACACATTAAGTTCATTCAGTTCAAAACGAACAGACGAGACGCCGAGTTGATCCTGACGCTGCGACGTCGGCTGCATTCGCTAGTCAGTCGCCAGTTCAAGATCAATGCCGAAATTCTGAATGGAGATTTGGAGGCGTTGCAATGTGTGGCTAATGTCATGAAAGAGGAGGATAAAACGCTTGGCTTGAAGTTGATTTCGGGCTGTTCTCAGAGATCTAGAAGTGGGAATATTCCTCCTGTTGTCGGCTATAGGGCTTTCATTCCATCGATGAGAGCTAAGTTGCGCTGTGATTTTTGCGATCATCAGGATATGAATGGAGCGGCAGGCGTTGACTTTTCGCTCTCAAAAGGACAGTCGAGTAGTTGTCTTCGGCAGAAATGTCTGCAGAAAGAGAAAGAATGTCGGCGAAAAGAAGAACTGAGAGACTTGGAGTTGAAGAGTAAAAGCAATATGCATCCGAATCGCATGACCTCTTCTAGAAATGAGAACCAGGGAGGAGGTTTGCTCGGCCGCATTCCCAACGTAAATATTGGAGGAGAAGGACTTTTTGACGACCAACACTCGAGAAATCTGGTCGCTGGTCGGCTTGGAAAGTATCCATTTCCTACGCATGCCATACATATCCAGCAATACAATAGTCTATTGTTGCAAGGTGCGGCTGGAATAAGTAACAATGTCTACAAAAATCCCTACTCCAAAAAGAAAAACGATAACTTTGAGTGTCTGATTCAAACAGCGGGAACCTCGAAGAGTCCTGCAACATGCTCTGCTGCTGTGTCTAGTGTTGCAAACAACCCTTTCTCTACAAATGATGTTTCAGTGACTAGTGCTTGCAAGGCTATCATGTCGCATGCTGCAGATAATAATGTTATAATTAGTTCCGAAGCAAATTTTAATGCGAGTAAGTTTTCGCTTGCTAATGGGGGTTCGCCATTGATGCAACCGTTGCAGCAAACAAGTGCATGTTCTAATAAGTCTAGATCTAATTCAACGGAACAGGTTTCGAGTAAAAATAAGGCGCCCAAAAAGATGTCAGACGAGTACACTATTCCTCCAGGCACCGGACGTCCCTGGAGGGATCTGAGAAGCATCGAGGAGATGCCTTGGAACCAAGTGGAGGAAAGTTGGCTCTGGTTTGGAAAAACTTGGAAGCGATTCTCGAGTGAGAGGAGGGCTTGGCCACAGCAGAGCGACTGTCTTTGGATTGATGGAAGTACCAATGATTTATACAACGAGAACTTGATTTCATACCCTGTTGATTTCAACGAGAACTCAGAGGATTTGGCGATGTTTCGGTCGGACAAAAGTGGTCCGAATCTGCACGTGTACTAATGAAACTCGACGATGAACTTGAAATAAAATGAAAAAGATAAATGAACTGACACATTTGATGTTAATTACTGCAAATTAATTGTGATTATACTTCCTGATAACCAATTTTGTTAACTAAAGTGGCATTTAAATGGTGATGTTGGTGTTTACTTGACATTGCGTCGCTCAAAGGGGTCTAGAACCCATTTCTGCACCCACTGACCAGGTGTTATTTGATGTCCTCTTAACGTTGATTTCTCTATTCTTCTCATTTTGTGCTGCAAAAGCACGTCCATGTGTTTACCTGCGTGTAGACTTTTTAAGTTCGGTTGATGGACTTAGTTTAGTTCAGTTCGAACAGGCAAAATACAATCGGAATGGAAGTTTCGTTGTTGAGCCGAAATAACTGAAAAGTACTTTTGGTCTTCTCTCACTTAGGTGTTGATTTGCTATGAGTGCTGAAGTATCTCTGTCGTTATCTCCTCAAGTGTTCTGTTGAGTTGTTGAGCAGTTTATAAATGCGAACAGGTTTCGTCCATTTTTCTGCACTGTATTGTTGACCTCTTTTTAGCTCTCAATCTAAGGCTGTAACTTAACTAAACTCAGTTTGTTATGTTCATGTATGTTTATCTCATCCATTGCTTTTCGCAATAGTTGCTACTCTTTGGTGCTATGCTCAATCCGAAATATCCTAAAATGTCACTTCATCCACTCGTAATAAACTAGTCTTGTGTTTCGCTTTGATGTCTAGTTCTATAATTGTAAATCTTGTACATACCTAAACGCATTTGGGTTTCGACTTGATTCAAGTCGGTCTCCTGCTTTCCTGTTTTATTTGCAGTTGCTCTCATTGTTGTAGCCACCGATTCGGCTCGACTGACTGATTGACTGATGTTTACTTAGGAAAAGTCTTCTTGTCGCTCGGTCTTATTTTATTGCAGATTTGTCCCTGATAATAACCAATAATTTAATGGGCTTCTGCTTTTAGCAAGCTCTGCTAATTCTTCACTCAACATTGTTGCTGTGTGTATCTGTGCTGTACCACAAGCATTAAAAATTTAAATGATGAAAAGTCTTTTTTCTTGAGTGTAATAAAAAATGGGTAGTGTCTGTAACACGGTTAAAAATTAGAAACAAATTACTCGCAACGGTTTCGGAATGAACTTAGCTAGTCAGATTCAAGCCCTATGATTCAGTTTTTGAAATTTAACAAACAAGAAAATTGCGCCATATAGAAAAACCCTAGAATCTGCCGGTTTTTGGTTCCAGATGATATCACGAGCTAGATATTGGCTGTTTACGTCACCAACTGAACGCAGCCTAAAATAGGCAGATCGTTTTTAAGTGTCAAGGAACGTACTGAAGACACTTATAATTTTTTAAAATAGATATATGTTTGTTCACATCAAATTTGATCTTTTGCGGCTTGACTTTTGATTTGTTCAACTCAAATTCACTCGCCTAACGGAGGGGAAATTGCCTTCTCCAATTAAGAAAGCAAAAATAGCTCGAAAACATTTGATTGACTTCTTGTTTCGAAAGTGGATTTTTGTATCAGACTCCCAACGGAATCACCAATTTAGCTTCTGATCCAGTTCTCTCCAATTTTTTTTTGAATAGAAAAAGTGTCAACCATAAATAACAAAGGAGAATTATGATCTTGTAATCCGGAACAAGACTTTTTTCCCGTAAACAAATCAAATTACATTCTTCTTTTCTCTTAACATCTTAGCTGTTTTTCTCTTCTCTTACCATTTGTTTCCTTCCCACTTGGCCTAAAGGTGACGCCGTAGCTTTTGCACTCTTAGGTCTGTGGTTCGAGTCTCTTTTGTAACTTGTTTTTCAGTATCTATGCAATTGTCGGATTTATGTTTATCTGCTCAAATTTTGTCGTCTTAGTTGCCAAGTTAAGGATTTTCTTTGCCTTGAGCAATTTTATTTGGCGTTGCAAGTGCAAATGCTGTTCATTCTTTTTTAAGTCTGAAATTGAAAGATCGCTTTTTTTTCATCACATCGTTTTTGTTTTCGATTTAAATGGTGTCTACTCGAAGATTTTCAGCTTTGTTGTCACATCACTAGTTTTTCTTGTACTGTAAGCAACTTTTATTGTAGCTGTAGGTGAGTGAAAGTGTTGTTCATTGTAGTTTCAAGTAGGAAATGTTTTTTTTTTGAAATGTAAGAAATTGAAATGTTTTTTTTTTGTAAAACTTTATTTCGGATAAACTTCAAGATTGTCGGCTTTAATTCCTCTTTGTCGGCTTTAAGTTTTTTCCGTTGCTAATTTTTATATTTAAATGTATACTCAAATTTATATTTTTATATTTAAAAAAAGTCTTAATTTTTTTTCATAGTTTTGTATGTGTGTTTTGAATATTCTCGAAAACTACCCTGCCATATCTGAGATTTGGGTTCAATTCAAAGTATGGGTTGTGAGAAGCTAATTTGTTATGCAACTTTGCAAATTTTTTAATGACACTAAAAGTTATGGCCCTCGGAAAAGTCAAAATTTTGATTTTTTGGGCCTTTGTTTTTGAAAGTTTTTCACTTTTCCGTTGAACTACCCTAACAAATCTGAGATTTTAGGCTTACTCATAATATCAGATTGCGCGAATTCCTTCTGCATAAACAGCTACGCCCTATTGTTTCGCGCAAAAAGCAATTCTGGGACTGAACGTCAAATGTTTGATTTGTTGCTCGTTTTTCAAACTTTTCTCGCTAACTATCCTGCCAAATCTGATATCATAAATTAAATCGAAACAAAAGATTGTTGAAAGCCTACCTTTGCAACTGGCTATGCCCAGTTTTTTTACCTCCAAAGGTTATGGCCTCCAAAAAAGTCGAAGTTTTGAAACTCTGACAGTCTAGTGCAAATTTTTGACACAGAAAAAACCGTACCAATTCTCAGGTTGTATTCAGTCGAGAAATCCGGTTTTGGGACCTTCTCTGCTCAAGTGGCCACAACTCGCTCTTTTCATGAAAAAGTCATAGAGTTTGGAATTCCTTTCGATCAATTTTCAGTCCTTTAGAACGTTTTTTTTTTAGAAATTTTTCTTTAAGTTTACTCAATCATATCTGAGATGAAAATTTCAACTGAAAGAACTGGTTGCAAAAATGCTTCCCGCAGAAGCGGCGCTCCTTAGTTTTATTTAAGAGAACGCTCTTTTTAGGAAAACTGATATATCTCAAAGTTTTTTTTACTCTTCTCACTTTAATGTTTTTGTTGTATCGCATATGTTGCGAAGCTCCGCTTCGCCTCTGTGTAAAACTTTTTGATTTCTTAACGCATACCACAAGCACGCGTTATCAAACCGGAATATAGACTTTTTTCTCGTTAACACCTAGTTTATCAAAATCACTTGAATCATTTTACTTTTGGTTCATGAAATCAAAAGTCAAAAATTACTTTGCACATGTAGCGAAGAGGTAACGCACCTGCCTATAATCACAAAGGTTAGCGGCTCGAATCCATCCAGGACCTGTTTTTTTGTGAGCCGAAAAATTTTTGCGCGTTAAAAATCTTCGTTCGTTGGACTTCTGTTTGTCTAATTTTTTGTCGGCTTAGTTTTTTTTCAGAGTAAAAATCATCTCAGTGTATTTCGGTTTTAGGCAAATGAGTTTCAAGATGTTTTGCTTATTTTTTGCTAATTTAAAAATTTTCTTTTTCACATTGTTTGTTGAAAATTTTTTGAAGTTGTTTTCTTCTTTATAAAATCAATTATTGTTCTGTGCATTTGTTGCTGTAGTAACTCTCATGCTTGACGACAAATCTCAAGTCGATCCTGTTTTTTTTTAAGAATTTGAAAATATTTGCCAATTTTAGACTTTCGTGTCAGCTAATTTTTGTCGGCTTTGGTTCAGGTCCCGCGTAAAAGTTCGGTTTCTTTTTGGCATTTTGAAAAATTTGTTAAGTTTTTTTATATTGCATGTGATTTTTGTTACCGAAAGTTGCCGTTCTTTTATAACTGTTCTTGACAAAAAAATGTTTCTTGAAGGCTTTTTTCATTCCTTGATTTATTATTTAATTTGCTGGGTATAGTCATTCAATTATCGCAAGTGCGCAAATGATTCGATGCAACGCTTCGACTCGGTTTTTCTGTTTGTGTTGTATCGAAAGTGTGTTAATTTATTTCAAGTGTTTATTGAAGCATCATTATAGTAAATGTTTTTTACTCAAGCAAGTGTGAATTCTCTTTTTTCCAATGTAAGTCGCAAATATTAATGTTCATTTTGAAAGTGTTCATTTTCATTTTGATCAATAGCCAGCAATAAAGTGCAACCAATGCTTAGAATATTAACACAGAATATTATATTACAAATCGACCTTTAGCGTATAGGTAGTGAAGGATGCCCGCAACAAAATAAGAGGGTTGGATGTTTTTAATGAAATTTTTCGTTTACCAGTTAAAATGCGTCCGCTCTATAAATTGAGGCATGTTAGTTAGTAAAATTTCTTTTTTTAAAAAATTTTATGGTACTGCTAATGCGTCGTAATTGGCTTGCGTTACTTAGCTACCATGTAGACTCATAATTGGCGTGCGTCACTTGAGAAATTTTGAACAGTCAAAATTTTACTTATTCAGTTTTTCCCATTAGCGTTATCAGTCATATTTTTGCTTGTGTATGCGAAGTGCTACTTCGCCTTTGGGTAGATTGTTGAACATCCAGTTATGAGTGACAAGCCTAGAAGCAAATTTTTTGCTTCGAAACTTTCAAATTGGCTGCTTTCGGGTTTTAGAGCTTAGTTCCTGCCTTTAAATGGTCTAAATTAAATTCATTTTGTGTTTTGCAAAAACTTTGAAAACAACCACGTGTGTCATTTGGTTCTGTAATAATGGTAAATCTTAAGTTTTTTTTGCAGAATCAGGTATAGATTCTTGCATTTGGGTGTCGAAACTATTCGGATCAATTTTCACATATGAGAAGAAGTGTACTAGTAATCGGGTTTTAGCTTTTTCCCGTAAAAAACTTTCCTTTAAAATCTTTTAAGCTCTACAGGGATTGGTTTTTCAAATTCCTGACTAGTTGAAATTTTTTTTTCGCGGATATCGTCGGACAATGGTATGTCTATTTTTTCCTTATAATTTTCTTTTCGCTTGTGTAATTGAGGTTTTGTTTCGAAAATTTTAATATATTTTTTAAAAATTTCATTTTTTTGTCCTCAAGCCTGCAATATTATGTTTATGTGGTGTCGCAAGTGGTTTGAAGCTCCGTTTCGCCTTTGTGTAGTCTGTCTGTCCACACGAATTGTGAGACATAGTACAATCTCAAAAAATAATAACTTTGAAGATAACAACCAAGTTTTCTTAAAAATATTCTCTAATTGAGTTCACAAATCTGATACACAAATTGTAACACAATACTCGACACCAGGTGATAATGAGATTTCATTTAAGAAATCAAAAACACTTTTCCGTGGAAATTAATCAAATTTTTGTCTTTATGAACGAGTTTTTTTCTATGAACTATCTTGTCTTTGTCTTTGTGAACAATTATGTCTCAATGGACTATTTTGTCACCATGAACAATTTTGTTCAATTTTTCATGTTACGATGGTAGCACCCTAAGAAATGAATATCACAAAATCTCTTGGTCAACCCCTATTCTGGCCCGTTCCCACCCTCTTATGCCACCTACAGCTATGCCTTAAATTCTTATTTTTATATGCTTTTGAAACGTTGAACCACCCAAGCTGAAAAAAGTTCAAGCGAAACATTCGATGTATTCGAACCACATTCGATTGATGCATTTAACTGTTATTTTATACCCACGTCAAAATCTTGTGTTCTTTCGGGATTAAACAGTTGCAATCTTTAAAGTTTCGAGGCCCACATGAGAGAGCTTCAATCTAGCTAATCATTTTAAGCTGACCAGTCAATCAGTTCGTAAGTTAGAGTCTGAACAAACACGCCTTCCTGATGTGAAGGTCTTAATCAGTAGAAAGGTGTGCACATATTAGGATCTTCTCTGTCGATTACAATGACAAATATGGTTCTTCCGAATTAGCACTACATGTAGGTTTGAGAAGAAAAT